TTCCTGTTCCGTCTTTGCCCCTTTTTAGTCTCAACTTAAAAGAGTTTTAAAACAAAAGTCAGATCGCGTTACTTCTCTGTTCAAAACCTCCCAATGGATTTTCATCCTTCTAGCACAAAAACTAAACTTTTTACACTTGCCTACCAGTGCCTGTAAAACCCGAGCCCACCCCTGACCAAATCACCTACGCTTCTCCCCTCTCAGCACTCCACTGTAACCACCTTGGCCTCCTTGATGTTTCCTGAACACAAGAAATAGGCTCAGAGACTTTGCACTGGCTGCTCCCCTTCCTGGAATGTTCTTCCTCCAGATGTGCACTTGGCTCACGTCTTCACTTCCTTCGATCTTGGCTCAAAGGTTACCTTCTCAATGATGTCTATTCTTCCCGCTCTATTTCAAATGGCAAATCAACAGTTGCCATCCCCACCTCATCCAGTACTTTCTCTTTCTTTGCTTTCTTCCCATAATGCTTACCCCATAATAAAACTGTACAATGTTTTCATTTATTTGGTTTGTTTTCAGTCTCCCCCCATTGACTGTAAGCTGCATACAGGCTGTTTTGTTCATTGCTGGATCCCCAGTTCCTACAATAGTGCCCGGCTCGTAGCAGGTGCTCAATAATTTTGGTGTAACATTTCAGAAGGCAGTATGAGAATTAAATGCTACTTATTCTGCAGAAGGAATAAACCCCCCATCCCTGATGACTCCCTTTGGGTGGGAGAACAGATAATTATTCTGCTTGAGGTAGTTAGGGAGCGAGAAGCTTGCCTCAAATTTTTGCCTGCTCCAAATAAAGAAAAACAGCATAACAACGACCGAATTCTTCTCTATGGCCTTTGTGCAGCTAAAACTGGTGATCACAGAGAGGGGGCCCCGATTAGGGAGGCCATTTCTTATGCCAGCGCTGGCCCCTGAGAATTGTCTTGCACAAGAGGATGGCAAAAAGAGGAACTGAAAATTCTCTACATCATAACATAAAGGGTTGTCTCATTTTAGGTTAGGTGGAGCCTTGAGAATGATGGTGTCTTTAGGAAAATGGTTCCCTGCCATACTATTGCTTTAGAATTGTTGCTTGTCCATATGAGTTGAGTGTGTGTATGTGCACGTACACACATGTGTGAATCTGTCCAAGAATTCCCCCAGCAGCCCAGGAGACAGCTGTAAGTGTGAGTGACAATGAGAGGACAAATCTTCATCCTACAGTAACAGCAATCTTCAATTTACTGCAAAGTCCACAGTAAATTTGCAGTTGGAGCTCTCGATAGGGTCACCCCAGATTGAAAAATCAGGTTTTAGGACATGTGTCAACATGAATGGTCACATCCCTTGAATTGTGCTGGGAAAGGGATCCTAGGGATAGAAGAAACCTCGTGGGGAAAGGGTGGGGTTATCCCAGAAAGGAAAGACTGGAAAAGTAGGCTCTTCCTCTGAGGAGGAAGAAAAATTATTCGAATAGACTCTCAGATAAAAAGCGAGGGAGTGCCCATGAGGGGGCCACTTGGGAAGAGCTGAACTTTCAAAAAAAAAATAACCTGTTTTCCTTTGTTTTCTATAAATAGTCAGAGCCAGTTTGGGGATTGGTTTCTACATTACAATTTCCTCTACTTATTGCCAAGACTTCAGACACTTGGCACTGCACCAAGTGTGGCATATATACTTCTTTACTTAATCCTCACTATCATCATCATTGTCCCCATTTCCCAGGTAAAGAAACAGAGGCAAAGAGAAAGTAAATTATTAAATTAAGTTATTGATCACAATTGCACACATAGTAAGTGGCAGGGCCAGGATGTGGCCCCGGGCAGGCTGGCTCCAGATGGGGCATGTCTACCCTCTCTGCTACACTGACTTTGCCATCAAGTTTCTTATGCACACAGCTGCCTTGTGTGAGAGGTAAGAAGAAATTTAAGGCAAGGGGCACTCAGGGGATACTGGTCTCCCCTGCTGTGTCAGCATGGCAGCAGCAACCTGGCTGCATAGCTGGACCAGCAGCCCTGTAGTTCCTGTTGGTTGGGGGGTGGGCTGGTGAAGGAGCAAGAGACAGGGAGAAGAGACTCAGTGTGACAGACTTCCACAGACACAAGCAAACTCCCCTTGAGACAAACTGAGACAAACTTCCCCTTTCCCCAAATGCATTCGAGGAAGGTAACTCTTGATTAGAAAGAGACACCCTCCAGTGTGTGGCTAACTTGTGCAATAGGTGAATTACAGCGCCTGACATGCAGTAAGTGCTCAGGAAGTCGGAGTTGTCATTTCTTAATAGGGCACAATGAACCATATGAGACTGTTGACTGTCGACCGTTTTTGACCTACCAACATGGCGATTTCACATGGTTCAATTTATAATTTAACTGTTCATTTTATTGTCCCACTCGCCTTCAAAGCTGAGCTCCTTTTAGCGAGCAGGGATGATGTACTTTCCGATCAGTGTCCCAGTGCCTAGTGGATACCTGGCTCCAAGCAGGTGCTCGTGAAGTGCTTACAGAGCTCAACCGGATGCACATCCACCTAGTTCACATGTCGTTAATGAACTAGTATGGGATCATTAACTATATACAGAACTATGATGCATCCTTACTAGGTTGGTTGGCTAGCTGGTTGACGGACTCACTGAATGTAACCTTGACCTCTGGGGTCAGAAGTAACATGGGAACGTGAGGCACGCCTATCCCACGTTTCGTCACCTACCTGGAATGACTTCAAAGACAAACTTCCCCGCTTCTTCTGGGTTTGTGGCGATCTCCTTGATTGTGCTCCCTGGTAGATACATGCAACCCTGAAAGATTGAGAGCGAGGCCTTTAAGGTAAGCAAAAACATTACCAGCTATGAGCTAAAATAAAGTTGGACGACAGATAGGATAATGATGGGATAGCAGAGAGGGGCATGGAAAGCTGGCATCCCAGCTTCGAATGGGGCACTTCTGCTACCCAGACCTTGATGAAATTAAGTGGCAGCTATGTGACAGCAAGCAAGGTGCCTAAGGAGACAGGAGGACAAGGTTCTGACCGGAGAATGAACTGAGAGGGTGCCATCACCAACACTTGCCTCTTCCTACTTTCCAAGAGCCAAAATTCCTTGCCAAACAAGACACCTGACCTTTGTGGAGGCCATGCTGAGACTGGGGGGACCATACCACCTGCCGGACTGCCAAAGGGGGCACTGGGGACTGAACCACAGGTTCATTGAGGCGATGCAGTACTTAGTAGCAGCAAGAGCTTCTGAGCAGCACACTCCAGGTGTCTGTCCCTCTGCTAAGCACCTTGAATGTGTATTATTCGCTTAGTCCTTTAAGCAATTCTCCAGGCAAGGTATTGCTACACAAGTTTACAAGTGAGGAAACTGGGGGTCAGAATGGTTCTGTGATTTGTCCAATGTCACAGAGCTAGTAAGTGGCAGAATGGTAATTCATCTCAGAAGTGTGTTCAAACCCTGTGCTCTTCACCATCACAGTGGAAGTGCTGGGACCCAGCAGTTTGACGTCCCTTGAACGGGCAAGGGGAGGAGGATCATGGATCCGTTGTGGGGGAGGGGTGGAGTGAGGGTGGAATTTGTGACCTTACACGTGAATATGTCATCAGAAAACCAAGTCACTTCCACCACGTGTACGCTCATTGCTCTACCACTGACAGTGCACTTTCACATGCAACATCTCCTTAGACCTCAGAACAGCCCCCAAATCAGAAACATGGCAGGATGGACACTCCCACATTACAGTTGAGGAAACCAACACTTTCAAAGTTTAAGTAACAGCACGAGGGGGCACAGTTAATTGTCCTAGAGTTCCTTACTCATAATTTACGTCTCACTAGCTGTCGTAGGTAGTGTGTCTGATCCTGAGCTGAGTAAACAGTGATGTCTTGTTTCTAGAACAAACCATGGATGAAGAGGATTGGTAGCGGAAAAGCTATAAAGGAAGAGTCTTAAGGAGCTCCCAGATCAGCTCAGAATCCTGAAAGAATAAATGTTTCTTGGGGGTCTATACATGCAAATGTCTAAGGCTGAGCGAGAAAAAGAGTTGAAGCGAAAGCAGAAGAGGGGGGTGGGGGAGAGAAAGGGGAAGAGAAGGAGGGGAAGGAGGGGAGCCGGGGGAAGGAGGACAAGAGAAAAGAAAAAAAATTCTGCCTACACTTCTCTAATTTTATTACTTAAAAATAACCACCACCTACATGCTCCCCGCCATCTTTAAATGATATCTGTGGCCTCGGGAAAAAAAATGACCCTTAGATTGTGCCGCTGGACGGTATATTCAGGACATTTAACACAGAGCCTGGCACCTAGTAAGTGATCAATAAATGGTATTTACCTACTTTGTATTTTATTTTTACTGTTTTTGGATGAAACTATCAAATAATAGTTTAGAGACGAACTTAGGAGAGGCAGGTACCCCTGAAATGGCACTTTCTTTATCTTCCTACCAGGCAGTGCTTCCTCCTGTCTGAAAAAACAACATAGTGTTTTATTCTGGTGCCATAACTCACAGCCATTATTAAAAGTTAAATTATATAAACTTACAATGAAATATTTTATATTAAAAATAAAGGTAGTACTACTCAGAATTCATCACTTTCTAATTCTCTTTTTTTTTTTTTTTTCTTGCAATTCCCCTGAGACACAGTTGACATACCGGACTGTCCAAGTTCAAGGTGCAGAACACAACGATTTGAACCACAAGAGTCATGAAATGATCACCACAATAAGTTTGGTGAACATCCATCATCTCATATAAATATAAAAGAAAAAAAATTTTCTATTTACCTAATTATTTGCTCTATTTTACTATTATTTCTGTTCGTACGGTCATTTGCATCAAATCTATCTGTGTGGTAGATATACTATCTAACACTGCTACTGTACATCCCTTCTCAACTCTGTGTTCAGGGACGCTGGTAGCTTGAATCAGCCACAGTGGGAGTATTTACACAACAGAAATTGGCAAATGCTGTGTCCAAAACAACTCCCCTACCACAGGGCTGTTGGTTAAACATTTCCCAGCTCACCCCTGATAGACAACTCTCTGCTCTAACTTCAGAGAAAGCAGATGAGGCAATGGAACATCTAAGCCAGGATCGTCTAAAACCATCATTGTAGCAGAGACTTGAGGGCAATTCACTGAGATTCTGTTTTAAACAACTTCCTTGACAAAGAAACTTTTGGAATGAGTTATAGGAAGCTAGGTCATGGACTTACAGGGCATTATACTGTTAGAGCTAGACAGACCTTTCTGAGAACTCAGAGAAAAAACTGCACAGACTGCCTTCTCCTGAACCGCAGGGTCCCCTCGAAGAGCACATACAAGGGTGCATCATAGAGGGCCCCACAATTTACTTAATCATTCTCCTTTGTTGGACATTTGGTCTAATGTTTCTCATTACAAATAGCACTGCATATATCTTATTATTTCTTTTGGATAGCTTCTTAAAACCAGAATGACTGGGTCATTCTGGATATGATATTTTTTGGCTTTTAGAAATCTGGCCAAATTGCTTTCTAGAAAGGCTGCACCAAACGTACACATCATCAGTATACAGTGAGGGCATTTTTCATCTGATTGCTCTAAGATTACTGGAGTGATTTTTGTTTTTTGAGTTTTTTAAGAATCTGAGTGTATGTGTGTTCTTTTTAAATTTACAACGAATTTATATTTTAGTCATAGAGAAAGAAGAAAAGTAAAAGTTATGTGTAACTCCAGTACTCAGAGATAACTCAGTTAACATCTCTGTGTATTTCTTTCCAAGCCTTTTTCCATAAATTACAGATTCATTGTCTTTTTCCCCTCAAGAATAGGATTAGCGGGCTTCCCTGGTGGCGCAGTGGTTGGGAGTCCTCCTGCCGATGCAGGGGACACGGGTTCGTGCCCCGGTATGGGAAGATCCCACATGCCGCGGAGTGGCTGGGCCCGTGAGACGTGGCCGCTGAGCCTGCGCATCCGGAGCCTGTGCTTCGCAACGGGAGAGGCCACAACAGTGAGAGGCCCCCGTACCGCCAAAAAAAAAAAAGATACCAAAAAAAAAAAAAAAAAGAATAGGATTAGCATATAAATCATCCTCTGCTGTTAACTGCTTTTTTCAAAGCAATTATATTATGGACATCTTTCAGTTTCAAAAAGTATTAATTTAGGGCATCAGCAGCTGAATTATATTCTATCGGATAGATATAGAAAAGTTGCCTCACATAACCTAGCCCCTACCACCGGGCATTGTTTCCACATCACTATTATAAACCCCTACATTAGAAATGCAGGTTCAAAGAATTTGCATTTCTAAGAGGCATATTACCCTCCAGAAAGGTTGTACAGATTTTCATTTCCACCAGTTGTGCATGAGAATTCCTGTTCCCTGGTCTTTACTAACATTGGAATTTCTAGAAAATCTTTGCCATTTTGATAAGGGGACAATGGTATCTCATTAACTTCCATTGCATGTCTTTAATTATGACTGAGTGGAGTTTTTACATATGCTTTTTGGCTATTACATTTCTTTGGGAAATTGCCCATTTACGTCATTTACTCATTTCCCTATTGCTGTTTCTTATAAGATTTGAGACTATTTTTAATAGGAAGAATAGTTGTTTACAATTTTTTCTGTTTATTTTTGCCTTTTCACCTTATTATTTTGGTTTTTAAGGTACAGACATTTCTATTTATGCAATTAAATCAGTCTTTTCCTTGTGCTGTCTTTGTTGCTATGCTTAAGAAGCACCTGCTTCCCAAAGATCATGCAGATAATTACACTTTCTTCTAGGATTTTTATGAACCCGTTTTCACACGTTAAGTCTTTAACCCATCCAGAATCATGAATGGTGTGAAACATAGTGTGGAAATAGACCTTTATTTTTTCCCAAGAATTTAGTTCATATCTTTCATTTCATGTCTAGATATTTGCAATGTCTATGAATCCCAAAACAATGTTAAATGATAGCATAATAAAAGTATTTTAGTTTGACTAGACTTTTCTTTATCTTAATAAAATAATGATGGATATATGAAAAGTCTACAAGGATGTCCACTTAATTCTTGTTTGTTATAATAACATAGAAAAATCGGCCCAAATTCTCAACTAATTTCCAGGAGGAAATTGGTTAAATAACTTATAGAATGTCCATAAAATAAGTTATTTTGCCACCACTAAGAATTACATTGTAGAATAATATTTAATAATACTGGACAATATTCAAGACATATTGTTAATTTTTAATTAAAGAATACTATTATACTAATTTCGCATTTAGATGAGTTTCTAAATGTACATGCATAGAAAAAACTGGAAGAATTGAGGATTTAGGTGGTTATTTCTTACTGAAGGGATAGTTATTTTTTTCTACTTTGTGATTTTCTGCTTCCTCCAAATTTCCAACTATATACCCATACAGCTTTTGTAATCAAAATATTCACATCCATATAAAATAAAATATTCTGAGAAATTATCATTTTATTCCTTTTTAAAAAAATACTTTTTATATCTGAAATGAGTTTTGGATTTTATCAAATGCTCTTTTCAGCCATCTGTTTAGGGGTTGTGTGGTTTTTCTCATTCGACTTCTTGATCTTGACTTATTGGTCTGATACATTAATAGGTTTTCTAAAAAATAAACCATACTTGTCATTCTAGAAGAAACTCTACCTAATTATCAGACTAATTTAATCCTGAGAGGACTCAGAGTTTCCTCCTCCAAAAGTAAGGGAGACAAGCCAGGACCTCCAATAATTTATTTTACTCTTTGACATCCGTTTATGTTTTTACAAAACAATTTTTTGCATGTGATTCATATCATTTAATCCTGGGACAGATGCAGGCCAGGTATGATTGCCTCATCTTACAAAAGAAAAAAAGAGGGGTCCAGAAAAATTAAATAATTACATGGCCAGATGATAGTAGAGCCAGGAAAAGAACACAAGCTCCCTGCTACACCTCACGGAAGTAAGCCTCACTGAACTTCCCTTTCTGCTGCTTTGGGAAGGCTAACACATTATTGCCATCTCCCTCATGCTCTGCAGACGGGAAGACTTCCTGCCTCGGCTATTACCAGGAACCCCATCTTAGCTTGCAATTGCTTGCCTCTGATAGGGTCTGTTCATAAAGTGAAGAAAGTCTGGTTACCACGCACAGGACACTGAGCAAGAACCCAGGCAGTGGTGGGGTCCCTGGCCCCTCTCCAGCCTCAGCAGGGACAGACACTCACAGCCCTCTGAGTGGAGGGCCTGATTAACCGGGCACTGCCGATGCGTCACAGAGCCTCAAGCCTGCCCTCAGAGAGAACTGTCCTCTTCCAAATGACCTTCTCACTTCTTTGCTTACCCGGCCATCCACCGCCAATATCCTCACCCTTCTTGGGGCTTTATTTCTGGCTCCAGAATGTCTTAGAGTCTGTCCTCCCTAATAAGTTCCTTGCCCACTCTTCCACCTCCACAGGCATGACTCCAGAAAGGGTGTCCAGTCCTCCTGGCTGCCTTGAGACATACAATTTACACCTGGGGTCTCTCAGCTGTTAACAGCATCCCCTTTTGCTCTCATTCACCACGATGGCCATGAGGAATCAATGAGGCAGGAAGAAAAGACCCGGGCCCAAGATTTACGATCAAAGCCCTCTCTAGCCCCATCCACTCCATCTGGAAGTCCTGTTTGCTGTATTTTCAAGTACATCAGGGATCTGATCATTTTCTTCCAGCCCACTGAGATTCTAAACATAGTAACCTCTCACCTAAATTACCCTTATACCTCCTCCCTTCAGCCTTGGATCTATTTTTGAGCATGGTAACCAGAACCACCTTTTTACAACATAACCCAAGAATGACCCCTTTCTGCCGGGAACCTTGCAAGGCCTGCCATCGCCCTCAGTGGAAAGACTCAAGTCCTTACAGTGGACTACAATGTCCTTTACAACTTGCGTCACAACACCCAACGCTCCACTCTCTGACCTCATCTGCTCTGATCCTTTCATTCCCTAACTCTGCTGCTCCCACGCTGACCTCCTTGCTATTTCCCACACACATCAGACATGCTCTACCTCAGGGCCTTTGCACTGGCTGTCCCCTCTGCCTGGAGTGCTCTTTACCCAGAGATCTGCCTGGCGGATTGCTTCTCCTCCTTAATCTTTGCTCAAATGTCCCCTTTTGCATGAAGTCATTCTGGCCGCCCTTCTTGAAATTGTACCACCTCCCCCAAATGCTTGATCCTCCTAGCCCATTCTATTTTTTCCTCATAGAACTAGTCATTTTCTAACAAACCACATAATTTTCTTATTGATTATGTCTATCTTTCTGCTTCCCCCCTCCCCATCTTCTAAGTTCCACGTGTCAGGGGTGCTTATCTGTTTTAGTCACTGAGTTATTTCAGCTCCCTGGAACAGTGTCTGGCGCACAGTAGATGCTCAATAAATATCGATTGAACAGACAAAAAAATGAAAGCCCCAAATCAATTTTCCTGAACCCAAGTCCACTCTCCCTGAGCCCTTGTGCTCCACATTCCCATCAAGACCACGCTGCCAACCTTGACTTAGAGCTGCGTTTAGGAAGAGCCTCAGCGCTCATCTTGGGGCTCCGTGAAGGAAGATCACCCTGTCATCTCTGCAACTCGGTTTATGTATCTCACAAAGGGTGAGAAGGAGAGAAAGAAGTCCTTGCAAATGGACAGGGGTCTCATCCTAGTAAGAAGCCCCGCTGCGAGTCTGTAGTGATCTCCGGCGCTCCACCCACCTCCCGCACCCAGGAGGGGACAGCCCTGGGAAGGGAGCAAACAACCAGGCTGGTACCTGTGGCTTCATGTCCTCCTCGTCCTTGTAGTAATAGAGCTGCTGTGCCCTCAGCACAAAGTACCTCTGCTGCCAGTTTTTCACGAGGGACCTCTGCTTCTTCAGCCAGCCCATCTTGACGGGTCTTTCCAGTGGGCTGGGGATGGATGCGGGGTGAAAGGCCGCCATCTGCTCTCCGGTCATCACACTCCTTGACCGAGCTGTGGAGACGGACAGACAGGCGGGCTGACAGGGGCTGTGAGCAGTGTGCAGGGAGGGGCCGGGAAGCGCTGGGCCCCAGCTAGGCTGGGCTCGGGGGTCCAGATCTGCAGCAGAGAGGATGCCCCGGAACCCTGCGGGCCAGCCGAGGGGCCAGCTCCCATCAGCGCCGGCCCTGGGGCCCTACACCCTCAAGGTCCGGCAGCTGGAGTCAGCGCCCTCATTCTGCAAAGCCAGAGATTGGCTGGAGCCTTCTGAAGAGGAAGTGGCCACAGCATCTGACAAAAGGTGCTTCCTTTTTCCTGCGTGGGAGTCAATATCTGACAAGAGAGGGGAGAAAATAATGCCTCTTGCTCTCAGGGTGAGTCCCACACAGCTGCAGAGGCAGCCAGAAGCTGCCCGGCTTCTTCCTCACAAGTAGCCACTGTGTTCCCCAACCTCACTGTCCAGTACTGCTCTGCCCTAGCAGCCCCCCAAAGCCCCCCGACCCCTGACAACACAGCCAGTGTGCAGGATCCCAGCACCTCCTGAATCTTCCTGCCCAGTGTCGTCAAGTACTCTCCGTTCTCCGCCCACGGAGAGTGTTCACAGCCCTTTCTGCTGGACCAAGGGCCTCCCTGTAGCTGCCTTCCTACTATGTTTTCAGTTGGGTTGTCCCTCCCATGTGGCTGACAGCACACAAGCATTTGAAAATGACATGAATCTGCCACCAGGACACATATGCAGAATTTGAATCCAGACCCCCCCCAACCCACTGCATCCTGTAGTTTGCTTTTGTTTTCACCTAAGAGCCCTGCCTCTCATCAGATTAGATCCAGGTGTCTGCAGCTTGTCTCCATGGTAACTCCCACCCAGGATAACTCTCTCCTTCCCTCCTCTCCACAGTGATCCGTCAGCCGGCCTGTGGTCCCCTGGGGCACTGAAGAAACTGAATAAGCCAACTCCACTCTCATCCAATCTCATCTCACCTGGTAAAGACCAGTGTTTCCTTTCTTGGCTTTTTGACCCTGGGTACATTATGCAACTTCTCTGAGCCTGAGTTTCCTTGCTTGTGAAGCTAGGATCATCATAGCCCCTATTCTGTGGAACTATTGTGGAGATTAAACAGGTTAATATACATAAACCACTTTGCACAATCCCTGGTCCAAGGTGAGCAAATGTCACTCAGTATTTTTATCAACAGATGACTTTACTTCCTACTGCGAAGATGGAGGTCATCTTTGAGAACCTCCTAAACTTCCCTCTTCGTTTCAAAGTACTGCTGCGTTGTCAAGCTTTCCCCTTCCTTTATTCCCATTTTCAACGCATTGAATCAACAGCTTCTCTCATCGCTTTTGATTCCTTTCTTTCTATCTCCCTCTAGGCCTGTAGTTTTTGTCTTTTATTTATATTCATGACTTGCTTTCAAATACCAGAATTTTATACAGCATTACACAGTCTTTCTTCCACTGAGTCTAACTGGATCCAGAATTATCACCCTATTTACATAGCTCATCCTGGATTGCTGTCTGAAGTGGACTCTGCCCTAACTGGGCTCCCTCAACCCCACAAGTGGTCTGCGTTCCAGTCACATACCCTCATTCCCAAGGTGCCAACTTGCAGTCACCCCTCGCCTCCCACCAGGGACTGGAGAGATCATCCTACGTTGTACACCAGGGCACAAGACATACTTGACTCAACCTCCTATTAGGCAGATATCAGAAGAGTGCAGATACTCCCATACCCCATTGCAGTAAAAAGTAACTTGACATTTTGGTGAAAATTTAGCAGTGTGCTAGCAAAGGGTTTGCTTTATATCCATGTGTCCCGGCACGCCAGTTAAGAATTTTATCTTTGATCTTAATCTTCAGTTCATTGCAATCTTCAAGGTCTTCCATCTGTAACTCAAAGAACAGCCACTCTGGGGCTGATCACTTGCTCTAAGGCTGTTTAAATGATCTGAAGGAAACTGAGGAGGATTTGGGCAGGAATACAGTGGGGAGGAGGGAACTGGAGGAACTGTGCCCAGCTCTGTGTCTCTCTAGGTCAGAAACTGTAACATGGGAAGACTCACATTCGTGCTAGAAACAGGGCAGAGATGGAAAGAATGGTTGGCACACAGAATTTCTGAAGAGTGAGGGATTCTGGCAGACGCACGGGGATTCTCCCTCCCCTCGGTAGCCTCTGCCCAGCCCAGTGTGATTTCTGTGCTCGTCCAGCCAAAGCAGTATCAGACTTGGGAGGGAGGGCTTCTAGGCTTCTAGGGTGATACCACCAAAGGCAGCCAGCGCAGGAGAGGAGGAAAGCAGGTGGGTGCCACGTGGTGGCTGTGAAGACTCAGGTGTCCGCAGACTCAGGCCACCCCCAGAGACCCACAGGAACTGTTCAGACTGTTCTAGAAAATGGGAGAAACTGAAGAACTCCAACAAGAATTGGAGAAGTAAGATAGGGGGAGCAGGGGCCAAAAAGACACCGTAGACTGAAGAGAATGACCCCGGCACGGAAGGATTCAGCTACTGGGATAGCTCTGGGAAACTTTTTTATGCTCTGTAGTGGCCAAAACAATAATAGCAAAGACAAATATGCAACACTCAAAACCTCCCCCAGAAGCATCTGTGCATTGCAGAATGGCCTGGCGAAGGAAGAGTAGATATGAGAATGTTATGTTCTCATACTTGGCCAAGAGGGGTCTTGATGTCCTTGTGACAAGTAGGTGAACACTTTGTCCATATGCATGGGATCGAGGCCTTGGCTAACCATCTGTTATATTTCAGACATGATCCCATTCACCCATACATCCACCATACGTGATAGGACTGTGGGCACTGGGCCATGAGTACAGATGGCTCAGAGCAAACTGCCACTGCTCGAATCAGGCCTCAACACTGGGGAGATGACAGCAGGGTTTCTGATGAGACAGTAACGAAGCAGGGGCTCCTTCTGTTCCATATCAGAGCCCTCGCCCACCTCGGCCCTCAGTATGGCTCATCGGCCAGCCCTATCACGAGGTGATTCAAATATCAGAGAAGAAAGCCTGGTGGGCCCTGAGTTGGACTTGTTTTTGACGACTTTCCTGGTTCGTTCCTTTGAACAGTCTCTCTTGTCTGTGGGTGTGACATGTTCCTGGATAAAGTAAACAAAGAGATCTGTTACTATTTCTAGAGCTGTTTCTCATAATGAAAATAACAACCATGATAAGCTTTGCTTGTGAGCCAGTCATCACATACAGAGCGCACGATCCCAGCCCTTCGGGAAGGAGGTCTGAGCCAGGCTGTGGGCTGGAGCGGGGGCCAAGGGAAGACCAGCAAAAGGCGGGTAGTTGGAAGGCAGTTGCTAAGAGTTTGCAGAATACTCTAGGGAGGTGGGAAACCCACCCGTACTCTAGAAGATAAAGAAAGAACAAGCCCCCAGCACTGCACTGTCCAGTACTGTAGCCACTTGCCGTGACTGGCTACGTACATTGAAATGAATTAAAATAAATTAAATTCAGTGCCTCGGTCACACCAGCCGCATTCCAAGTGCTCAGTAGTAGCCCATGTGGCTCATGGCTACAGTAATGGACAACACAGGAAGAGAATATTTCCATCATCACAGAAAGGTCTATTGGTTGGCACTTCCGGGAATCTGAATAGCATCATTACCAAGCACGAGACAAAATGGGCCATAAAGGTGTGGGTAGCATTTCATCAAAGAGATAAATCAAACTGGAAGGTCCCGAAAAGTAGCTTCTTTTCAGAGTGAGACGCTCAACCTTGATCTGAGAGCTAACAGGGAGCCATCTCACGTACCTAAGCAAGGGAGGTTCATGATAAAATAGAGACAAGTTAAGTAATTGAACCGCATAGGCTGCATTTAGGTCTGCAGGTGAGGGAGGGCAAGAAGAGACATAGAAAGAAGACACATGAAAGAAGTTCCACAGTCTCAGGGGTGCTGTTTCTGCAGTAGAAGGTAGCTGCTTTTTGCCCCAAGTTGGAGCGAGAAAAAATTAAGAGGAGGAAGTATAAACAGGGAAGTCAGCTTGGGAGGCGTTATCACTTCCTCTCTTTATCTTCTCATCTTCTGACCCCACCCTCCCCCCACAGATAATCAATCACAAAATCTTCTAGGGTCTACTTCTGAGATATTGCTTCCATCTTCTCTCAACTCTGCATGAGTTTAGATTCTATTTTAGAGGCTCCGAACATGTGAGATGGGAATAGTTCAATCAAAGCTGGAAAACTACTGAAGGTATTTTCTCAATATGTTGATCTGAGCAGTGCATCAGTCTGGGAACCTTGTTTAAATAAAGTTGAAAAGGGATTAGAATATACATAGCTTACCCCCAGACACCCTCTCCTGAGCTGTAGACTCATCTACCCGACCGCCGGCAGGTACCTCCGTAAGGATCTCCAGGTCACGTGATGCTAGTTGAACTTACCGTCTTTCTCCCCCTACCTCCTACCATTCCCCGGGCTTGTGTGACAAACACACCCAAGCCTGCTTTTCTATGGTTTGCTGTGACTGACTTCTCCCCGGTCAACCAGCCAAACCAGAAGGCTGACCCATTCCTACAGTCGTCACAATCAATAGCTCTCTTTCTCTCTGATCCCTTCTCTCTACCCCTACCTGGTTTTCTTGGCCCATTTATCCTCTCCCTGGATTGCCGCAATAGTTCCCTGTCCTGTCTCCCTCCTACCAATCTCATCTCTAATCCACTGATGACATTGTTTGTGACATGGTCCTTCTGAAACACAAATCTTATCATGTCACTCTTTGACCTAGAAGCCTTCAGTGACCCTCCAACATCTTCATCCTAAAAGATGAAGGCTAAACTCCCTACCATGGGGTTCAGAGTCCTTTGTGATTCTCCTGCTGCATCTCCTGCTCTCTTCCTGCACACCCATTCTGCACTCCATCCATGACGGTATTCCATTCCCTCTGCTGGACTCTTCTTTCCACCCATTCTCACCCACCCCCAGTTCTCGAAATGTTCTTGTTCATCCTTCAAGGCTTAATTCCGGCCACACCTCCCATGAGAAGCCTT